GCCTTTCCTTTCTTTCTTTGAATGGGCCATGTTTTTTTGATTCTTTGTATGATTTGTGACTTTTGTTTAAAAGTGGATATTTGAATCTAATAATGTGGTAACTCTGGAAATCAGATTTTCCTCCTTCCTCATGCTTTGCTGTTTTGTCTTAAACTCTGTGCCACTTGTCTTTAAGAAAAAACTTTCAGTCTTGGGACCAGCAGTTAGCGTAATGGCTATGTCGCTGGACTCCCATGTTGTCGACTGTGGTTTGCATCCTGGACCCGGCGACTTTAACTCATGCCGGGTGCGTGTGCGTGAGTGCCCAAGATCCCGAGGGGAGGATGGAGGAGAAGGGATTGCGGCATGGCCATTCCCCCTCTGGGGGGTGATTTCTTGCTTTCTATCTCTCTGTCTCTCTCTGTCTTTCTGGCGAGCACACATGCCCTATAGCAAAAAGAAAAAAAGAAAAAACTTTTAATCTTTTGTAAACCATAGGGAAGATCTTTTGGGGCCTAGAAGAGACAGTGTTGTTGTTGTTTTTTTTTTCTAATTAGCAACAACTTTGTATTCGTATGCCATATATTTGCTTGCAGGCTCTTAGGAGAACCATTTATAAATCTTATGTAATATATAAAAATTATTCTTAGGCAGTAACTTTGCTGTTTAATAGTTCAACTTGAAAACTACTGGAAATTAAAATCTTTAAAATAATGTATAATTTATTTGTTTTTTCCTTGCACATATTGCATTTCAAACCATAGGAGTCTGGAACTGCACAGTAACTTTTTTGTATTTGTCAAGGTTCTTAAACTGCCTATAGTTTATTTGGCACATACATACAAAAGAATTTAACTACTGATCTAAGTTACTAAAACACATCACAGTTACATTCTTTTATAGCAACTGCTGTGTACCAGTTCAACCTAATAAATCCTTAAGTGTATCTCATTCATGTACTTGGTCTATTGCTTTGTTCTGAATAACCATTACCTCATACAGGCACATAATAAAGAAAAATTCTGTGTAGTTCATAGCAAGGAATCCACACATTGGGCTTTTCCTGGAAGAACAGCCAGTAATTGTAAGCTCAAAACTCCCCAAATAACCATCTCCTTCCTTTTCAAGCTACTTACAGGTCTGATATTGCACTAAGGTGTTGTCATCAATTCTACTTTAGGGTAACATGAAGATAATGCCCTGACTATTTCAGTTGTTTCTGTGCAGTGGTGCCAAATGCTCTGTGCTGTGCTGTCAGTGCATAAAATTAGCAAACAAGTGTTCTGTAATTCACTAGTATCATCGTACTAAACATCCTTTTCTCTTTTATTTCCCTTCATGGAACAAAAAGTTTCTTGAGTGACTTAGTGACTTACTTAGGAACAGTGCTACATTTGGAGTCTTTGTAATGCAAACCAGGAAATGTCAGAATGCTTGCTTTTCACGGCAAGATTATTCATTCATTAAAAATTAAAACACGTTTTTTATTTTATGTGGTGGTTTGGAAGTTATTTCCCACGTGCCTACTTCAGCAGTACAGAACGAAAACAGCTCTGTTGGGTAACATTCCTGAGATCATCATACTTGGACTCTCACATTTTCACTGCTGCAAACTCTTTACTCCAAATTTGTTAGCATGAAATTTATTGAACACTCACGAGTCTCAGTGTGAGGAGATAATGAAAATACTTGGATTGGTGATTTTTATTTGGTTCTCCTTTCATTCAATAAAGAGTTACTTGACGTTAGCTATATACTGAGAATATTGCTAGGTCCTAGGGTTGTGAACATGAATAAAACATAGTCCTTTTCCTTAAGAAGGTCATAACATAGTACAGAATAAATATAAAAGAAAATAGACAAGATTATATGATATTCATAAAAGAAATACCAACAAAGTGCTGTGAGAAGACTGAGGGAAAGATCAAAGAATGACTAGGAGAAGATTCTCTCATTCATGCTACAAGCCAATGGAACAATAGAAAAATGCATGTAAAGTCTTGGAAATGAGTCTTTTGAAAATAAAAATAAAATAAAAATACCATTTACAATAACATAAAACCCATAAATGCTTAAGAACAAACTTTTTTGGGGGGGAGGATTTTGCTATAAGGCACGTGCGCTCACCAGAAAGAGAGAGACAGAGAGACAGAAAGTGAGAAATCACCCCCAGGGGGGATGGCCACACCGCAATCCCTTCTCCTCCATTCTCCTGTTGGGATCTTGGAATCGCACGCATACATGCCCGGCGTGAGTTTTAAGCCACCAGGTCCGGGACGCGAACTGCGGTAGACTACATGGGAGTCCAGCGATATAGCCATTATGCTAACTGCTGGTCCCAAGAACAAACTTTTAAAATATACATAAAGACTATACAAAGAAAATAATTTCTTAATATCTTTAAAATATAATTTCTTACTTAAAGAAAAAATACCAGTGTATTATGGCATTTATAACATATGTATATGTAAAATAGATTAAATCAGTTACTGAAAGGCTTGGAGAGGATAGGAAAATGATATTTGAAGCTAGATTTTATAAATTAAATATGCAGATTGTAAATCTGAGAACAACTACTAAGAAGAGAAAAAAGAAGTTAAGTCATAAGCTATTAGGTAAAATAAAATAGAAAACAAAAATATACTCAGTTCTTTCAAAAAAGGTTGAGAATGAGGAAAATGGGATAGAGAACATATGGAAGAAGTACAAAACAAATAGTACTATGGTAAAATTAAATTCTACAGCATGCACAATTACTTTAAATGTATATGGACTAAAGACCTCTGTTAAAAATCAGAGATAATGAGCATCTCACCACTTCTATTCAACATTGCACTGGAAAGTCCACTCAAGGAAATTAGCTGAGAAAAAAATAGATTGGAAAGGAAAAAACAAAACTGTCCGTTCTTGCAGGCTTTTCTATGTATACATAATGTACTAAATACAAAACATTTATTAGCTCTAATAAGTAAATATTGCAGTGTTGTAGAATACAAGGTAATTTACCAAAATTTATTTTTAGCAATAAGCTTTTGAGAAATAGAAATGAAAAATATACCATTTTTAGTACTGTCAAAAGCCTAAGTGCTTAAGTTTAAAGAGAAGTATGTAAGGTCTGTACAGTGTAGACAACAAAACATTTCTGAGAGAAATTAATGATAAGAAAAGTAGATAGACAAATATACTATGATTATGAATAAAAACACTCAATATTGTTATGATGTCTATTCTTCCCCATGTGATCTATATAGCACCAATGCAATCCCAATCAAAATTGAGGCTTTTTTTTTTTTTAAGTGTCAAACTGATGTTAAAATTCGTGTGAAAGTGCAAAGACCTAAAATAACCATTCGAAATAAAACACATTTGGAGGACTTACGTAATTTTAAGACTTATCATAAGGCTAAAGTAATCAGGGTAGTATAGTATTGGGGTAAAGATAGACAACAGAGCAATAAAATTGAATAGCATCTAGAAAGACACACACATTTATGTAGTTAATTAATTGTTTGACCAAAGCAGCACAGCAACTCAGTATGGAAAAAGTTGTTTCACCAACGATGCTTGGACACTGGATATCTATGAGGGAAAAAATGACCTTTACCACATACCTCGCATCATTAAAATTAATTGGCAATGGCTGATAGATCTAAAACTGAAATCAACAACATAATGCTTCAAAAAGAAAATGTGGAAGAATATCCCCATGAACCTGGAGGTAGGCAAAGATCCTTTGACAAAACAAAGAAAGAACTAATTGTGAGAAGAAAATAAATGGCAAAATTTATTTCATAAAAATGTAAAAATGCTAATTTAAAGACAATAAGCCGAACATGAAAGTCACAGATTAAATGAAACTATCCAAAATACATGTGTCTGAGAGAAGATTTTTTTTTTCTGGAATATATAAAGTATTCTGCAATGAAAAGGTAACCTCTTCCTGCCACCCAGGGTCCATCATCCAATAGGCAAAAGACTTGAAAAGACACTTCAACAAGGAAGATAATAAATAACAAGTAAATGCACAAAAAATTATCAACATCATTAATCATCAGGAAAATAAAAAAATAAAGCCACAACCAAATATTGTTAGATATACATACTAATGATTAAAGTGAAGAAAACTGATTATGTCAAATGTTGACAGGGATGCAAAACAAATGAATTTTTATACATTTCTGCAGGGGGCAGCTTTTCATAAATTAAACATTCTCCTCTTCTGTGATTCAATGATTTCTTCTCTAGATATTTTCCCAAGAGAAATGAAAATATACTTATGCAAGAAGGCCTGTAAATAAGTGATCATAACAGCGTTATTAGTAATATATAAAAAAAGAAACACCTCACCTGTCCAATAGTAGAATAGATAAACTTGATGTATTTTATTCATCAATAAAAGTGATAATCACTGACACGTAGACCAGCATGAATGGGCGCTGAGCATATGTTGGAATTTTCTAAATGACTGTATGCTTGAGCATTCAGTAAATGAATCCTTAATGGCCTATTATGTGATTCAAGTCCTGGACTTGGTGGCTTGAAAAATAAGCTGGACATATATGCATGCTTGTCCAGAAACCTGAAGGAGGGAGAGACAGGAAAAGGGATTTAGATGTGCCAGCCCCCATGGGGGGGAGTGCTTTTTAACTCCCTCCACTCCCATCTCTCCAGCAAGTGCATGCACACTCTAACAAGTTAAAAAAAGAAATTGATCCTAGCACTGAAAGTGCTGTATAATAGGATGTATTTTACTTTAATCTACAGGTACATTCAGTTTCTTCTATCTGATCTTTATGATTGTGGCAACATTGATCATTATAGAAGGTGCTTTTTTTTAACTTATTCTATTATTTAATATTTACAATTTGTAAAAAGTACCTAGTTTTGTAAAAAATCTAGATAAGAGTGATGCTAAATATATGTTATGGTGCCACCTTGTACATAATTAAAAATATGTTAAAATTCATTAAATAATAAAAAATTATAATTTGGAAATTCATGTCCCATTTTTTCCCACATAGGTATTTATGAGCCTCCATTTCTTATACTACTGCAGTGAACCAACTTTGGATGTGAAAATTGCCTTTTGTCAGGTGTGTGTTCCTTACAGGTAAAAAACAAGGTACAGTATATTCCCTTGTATTTTCATTTTACCATTCCATCTTCCATATGTTCCACAGCAAAGTTAGTATTTACATAATATTAAAAGTAGCTTAGGAAATAGAAGTAGATACTTTTTTCTTTCCCAGTTTTTTGAAATTAGAATAGAAATGAAGAAGTTTTTTAATAAAACAATAGCAAAGTATTTCATCACTATGTAAGTGATTTCTTATAAGATTTTACTTGTGGGTAAAATTTTTAATATTCCTTTTCTCAAATATTTGAAATCATTAAAATAATTGAAGTCTGTATTATTATTATTGCTCATTCATAAGGATTGATAAACTCCAAATAGAGTATTTCCTCTACTTACCTGTAAGATTGTATTCGATTTGTTTCCTAATGCCTGCTTTTTAACCAACGATTAGTAAAAAGGCTAACAACATCAAAGACAAGTACACGCATATTAACCCACAAGAAATAAAAAGGTGGTAACAATGGCTGGTAATGGGCATGGACCACATAAAAATCTACTCCCTTGTGATTTCACAAACTATTAAGAGACTCTACATGCTATGTTTAGAATAGTCCTTACTTAAACTTGTTGTCATGATATAATTGATAATGCTCCCCTTTAGTCTCAAGAATTGGTATAGTTTGGACAATAGCTTGTATGCTAACTGTATTCATATGCCAGGTAGAAAGCTTTGCTTCAGTTTTTCTGCAGTGATTATCATTGTACCTTCTTACTAAGCTATACTGTAAGCAGAGAATAATGCACATCCATTGAAATTAGGCTTAAGAAACAACTCTTCTGCTTCTATTATTTCAATGCAGTAATTTCTGATTCTAGAATAAATATGGTTTTATTATAGAAAACATACAAAAATATAAAGGGAAACAAAATACTTTTTTGTATTTACTTGGCATTTATCTATTCTCCTGAACCTACTTAAATTTTCTATGGGAAAGCAAAAAGTGCTATGCTACTATAAATAATATTTTTTTTCTTTAGAGATATTTTGCCTTAGGGCAAATGCACTCGCCAAAGAGAGAGAGAGACAGAGGCAGTGAGAGGGGAAAATGAGAAATCACCTTTCAGAGAGGGATGGCCATGCTGAAATCCTTTCTCCTCCATTCTCCTTCTGGGAGCTTGGGTATGCATACACTAGCACTTGGCATGATTTTCAAGCCACCAGGTTCAGGAGTAGAACTGTAGTTGCACATGTGGGAGTCCAGCGATGTAATCGTTATGCCATCTGCTGGCCCCTTTTTAAAAATAAGATTTATTCATCTGTCTCATCTCCCTAATTGCTAAGTTTGTAGTACCAGAAGCCTCAGGATTTTAGACAACTTTTCTTTCTAATAAGACCCTGGATCTAGACAACCTTAGAAATTCCAGACCTAGGGGCCAGCTAGTGGTGTGGTGATTTAGGTACTGGACTCCAACGTGGTAGATTGCTATTCAAGTCTGAACCTGGTGATTTGAAAATCACACTAAGTGTGTGTGTGTGTGTGTGTGTGTGTGTGTGTGTGTGTGTGTGCAATATCTCAGGAGGAAAATGGAGAAGGGATTGTGGTGTGGCCATCCCCCTGGGGAGTAATTTCTTAGTTTCCTTCTAACTCTCACTATCTCTGTCTCTCTCTGGCGAGTTGCATGTGCCCTAAGGCAAAAGCCTCCAAAAAAATTGAATATAGTTATTGTATACAACATGTATTTTGATGTATGTATACCTCATAGGATGACTCAATTGAGCTATAACATATATATTACCTAAACTTTTTTATAAGAATACTTCAAATCTTGTTTGAATTACTTGAAGAATATGAAATTTACTGAAATATTTAGCCATTCTTATTCATTTATTTTGTTTTGTCTTGCTTTGCTTTAAAACTCAACCAAGTACTTTTGTAGACAAAGGTTTTCTTGTTATATTCTGGGGAGAAACTTTTCTTTGTAATGTAAAACAGCAAAAGAATAATCTGTGCTTTTCATTATTACGAATTTTTTACAAAAATATGGATCTATAGGGAATTTAAAGTACAAAATTCTTTCTTTTTTTGGAGAGGTTTTTGCTATAGGGTACGTGTGCTTGCCAGACAGACAGAGACAGAGAGACAGAAAGCGAGAAATCACCCCCCAGGGGGGAAGGCCACGCTGCAATCCCTTCTCCTTCATTCTCCCCTCGAGATCTTGGGCACGCACACACACGCGCCCGGCATGAATTTTAAGCCACTGGGTCTGGGACTTGAACTGCGGTTGACTACATGGGAGTCTAGTGACATAGCCATTACTGCTGGTCCCATTGAAGCACAAAATTCTTGATCCACCTGAGAAATGAGTAAGCTATCTTAGCCTTCTTTTCTCAATTGAACAGAAAAGTACAGAGCTATTATATTTCACTACATTAATTTGAAAAAATGCTTTGTGAAAAGCATTATTTTTTGAACTCTGCTGCACTGAACAGATGAGTCAGAGTTTTAACCAAGGAATTTATTCATAGAGAGACAATGTGTGTGAAAACCCCATACACACTTGCTCTGTATCCAGTGTTAACACTTCCTGTGTCATTGCCATTAGGTTTACAGGTTTGGGGTTTTCTGATTCAGTGGTATTGCCTTCAGGACAGAAAACAGTGTCTCCTCCGCCTTGACTCCCAAGCCCAGAAATTTATCTTAATCTAGTAAATGTTCAATAAGTGCTTTTTGAATAAAAGTAGAAATAACTTCTTGGCAGAAAAACATCATTTCCCAAATAGAAATTTGTTTGCTTGAGTTTCAAGATCAAATCAATTTCTCAACATCCTCACATCTTACAAGTATGGATTAATAGATTTAATTACATTTTGGTAATTTTGCTAATCACAAGTCAGTGTTAACTTCATATTTATCTAACAGTTATTAATGTATTGTCTTCTCTAAATGTTTACTGATGCTTGAGTTAGTCATGAATAATTTTAAATGATTTCCCAACTTTAGAAAGTTCAAGACACAGAGAATTCAAATTAATTAATCAATAAATAATCACATTAGCATTAGAAGTAAAAGGTACTGGGACCAGCAGTTAGCATAATGACTATGTTGCTGGGCTCCCACATGGTTGACTGCGGTTCGCATCCCGGACCCGGTGGCTTAAAACTCACGCCGGGCACATGTGCTTGTGTACCCAAGATCCCCAGAGGAGAGTGGAGGAGAAGGGATTGCGGCATGGCCATCCCTCCTGGGGGGTGATTTCTCTCTTTCTGTCTCTCTGTCTCTGTCTGTCTGGCGAGCGCACACACCCTGTGGCAAAAACCTCTCCCAAAATGAAAGAAGTAAAAGGTACTGAGTGAAGGTTGGTCTTCCTTTGGCCCTGGCACAGAAACACTTTATTTATATTTTTTTATGTCAAGGAGATATCCACCTGCTTTTTCACAGACTGATTATCGATTTCACCATTCATTGATATAATGTATTTTTACTGAGTGTCTATATTGTGTCCTTATAGCTTGTAGAAACTACAGCTACAGAATAAATAATACAGCTACTCCCCTGCTTAGTCTAATGCACAGTAGAGAGTAGTTAGGCTTACAAAGAAAAACCTACACTTCTCTGAGTTTGAGATCTCAAAGATAAGCAATCATGAATCAGAAAACAAACACACAACCCCATTACCTATTTTTTAAATTCATTAATTAATTTCTTGAGCAAAAGAAGAGAGGTATCCTTGAATCCTTGGCCACACTGTGATCCTTTCCCAGCCTTCTAATCACCCACCATCACTGGCATCCTTGCATAACCTACCTGGGAACCGAACCTGGGGTCTCCCTCATGGCTCACACAGCACACTGCACAGCGTGTGCCACTGTGATTGGGACCCCTGATACTTACTGAATGCTTACTGTGTGTGAAAAATATTTGGTTAAAGGGTACAATGTTTCAGTAAGACAAGTTATAAATGATATGCATTTGTGGTGATGGCTATGTTAGACTGATTCAGTCACTACGTCACATACATATGTTATAGTACCAGTTTGTGCCCTATAAATATATACAATAATAATTTGTCAATATCCAATAAAAATAACAGAAACTTTTATTAATGTTTAATCTTCATGACATGATTTATTATCAGAAGGCAGGGTACAGTTATGTTTATTCTGGAGTCAGATCTCTTATCTATTATACTAATCCCTTTAGGAACTTCCCTTTTTCCTTTTAATTTTTATTTATTTACATATTTACCTATTTTGTGTGTGAGGGAGAGACAAACAG